CGGGGCTCTGGCCAGGCCAGTTGCCAGGACAGCGGGAGTCCCCCTCACAGGACCGGGTGGGTGTCCGGCTGTCTCGCGGGGTGCAGCGTGAACGGGGCATCGAGCGGGAGGTTTGAACAGCGCCACGCGCCGCGGGGGGAGCCCTGGCCGGCGTCACTGACTCTGCTCCGGTTCCTGATGCCCCATGGCGCTCAGCACGGTGGCCTGGGGCCGGCCAGGGCCTGGCTGGGTGCGCAGGTCGATGTGGGGGGCAGGGTCACCGGGGTGGCTGGCTGCGTCTGCACCCTACTGTGCCCAGTGGTGCCCAGCACCCAGTGGCGGCCTAGAGAGTGTGTGTGACGAAAGGCACGGGCCAGGCCCACGCCCCACCTGGCCGTGCCCCACGGCGCTCACCCCCCAGACCCGCCCGGATCCTGCCCTGTGGTCCCGCGTGTGCCCGGCCGCAGTCTCGCTCTTGCTGCGGCCCTGGCGCCAGCGGCCTCTCTGCCCGTCGACCCGCCCGGATCCTGCCCTGCGGTCCCGCGTGTGCCCGGCCGCGGTCTCGCTCTCGCTGCGGCCCTGGCGCCAGCGGCCTCTCTGCCCGTCCGTCTGTCTGCTGGCAGCCGTCTCCCTTCAGCTGTAAGCTCCTGGGGCAGGTGCTCAGTGGCTGTTTGTGGGACAAACGTGTGTGATCACCTCTCAGGCTGCCCGCTCTGGCTCGAGGGGGCCGGCTGTAAGAGCCGGCAGTGTCCTCGGGGACAGTGCCGGTCCTGCCCGCGCTCCTCACCCGTGCCCGCTCTGTCCCCGAGGCCTGTCAGCCCCACCGCCGGGCAGCTCACCTTGGGAGATCCCGGTGATTTCCCGATTTTCTGCTCTCTTGAAAAACCGTCTCCTGCTCCTTGTGCGCTCTGCCCTTGCTTCCTCTTCGGCTAGTTTTGTGGCATCTGTGTGTATTCTTTAAGAGCTTTAATCTCATCCGTTTTTGAAAGAATGCCATCAAACGTTTTCACGAAATAAAATCAGGTCGCCGAGACGCACCCGATGCCGTCGATCGCCGAGGCCCACGTCTTTGCGAAAACGTCACAGTTATCCGTCTACTTGCCTGTGGTCGCGCGTGGGGACGGCCTCCGGCGTGTGCTGTTGCCTGCGGGGTGTTCGCACACGTCTCTCTTCACAGTGTGCGCCTCGGAGCGGAGCCGCACGCCCGTGGGACGCGGGAACGCTCGGCTCGGGGAGATAGCAGCCGCTCGCCTGCCAGAGTGCTGGGAAGGGTCTCTGCGTGCGACGCGGTCACGCGGGGCCTCAGAGCCGCCGCCGCCGAGTCGTCAGGCTTCCTCGCTGTCGCCGGTCGGCGGTTTCAGAAAGCGCCGCGGTCTTCCGCGCCTCGCCGGTGGATGGTGTCCCTTCCGGTCTGGCTTGCATCGTCTCCCCCCGCGTGGCATCATTTGCATCATTTTGTACCATTTCCTCTCTTCCCGCCCGTTGTCCTGCGGAGCTGCTTGTGCTCAGAGTCCTGAGAACAGCTTCTCCCAGTGCGTAACATTTTCAGTTTTTATTTTTATTTTATTTATTTTGAATTTTTATGAGTTTATTTGAGCCAAATTGACGACGATTACCTGGAAGCAAGATCTCAAAGCCTCCATCGTGTTTTCAGTTTCCAAAAAAGCATCTTCTAATGGAAAAAAAAGAAAGGCTGCACACTTTTATGTGGCCAACGTTATCAACCTTTTTTTTTTTTTGGAAGTCAGTGCTATTTTTGTCTTCAGAATTTTTTTCCTTCCCCAAGGTTGAAAAGGTTATTCGCCTACATTTACCACGAAGAGTTTCAAAATTCGCTTTTGACACGCGAGTCCTAATGCACCTGGAGCTGACTTCTGTGCGTGGCGGGAGGTGAGAGTCGAATGCTCTCTCTGTCCGTGTGGGTGACGGTTCTTCCGGTTGTTTGTTGCAAAGTCCCCCCCGCGAACTGCCGTCTCCCTCCCGCCTGTGCGCACCCCGCTACCGGAGCATCCGGTCTGTTCCGCGCACGCCCAGCACCTCCCGCCCCAGAGCCAGCGTCTTGGCATTCGCCGTCCCTCTCTGCTCGTCCCAGAAGGGTCCCGGGACCTCTCGGCCTCATTCCCTTCTGTACCAATGTCATAAAAGTTTTATCCAGATCCACGAAAAACTCCTACTGAGATTTTGGTTGGATGCCCGTTAGGGAAATTAACTAATGAAGTCATATCTTCTCACCCGTGAACATGACCCCTTTCTCCAGTGACTTAGGTCTGTAAATTTTACAGTTTTCCCGACAGAGACCATACCCGTCTTAGTTACTTGATGTCGTGACGCTACAGCACGTGCTGTCACGATCGTGTCACCCTCGTGCTGGCGTATTAAGTGCACCTGACTCGCACACACTAACCTTCTGTGTCTCCACGGTCCCAAACTCTCTCATCACTTCTAGAATTTCGTGTACATATCCTTTGGAGTTTTCTACGTAATTGTGTCACATGCACATAGCTTCGTGGCCTCCATTCCAACCGCGCTGCTTCTCGTGCCTTTGTCTCGTCTTGTGCTGGCTGGAACGTCCTATACGACGTCGGCGCCATTGCTGAATTCCTGCTCTTAAAGGGACTTTCCAACGCAACCCCGTGTAGAACGACGTTTGTCCTAGGTCTTTATAAAGACATAGATGTTGCATAGATATGGATGTAAACGTGTCGACACTCTAGCGTGGGGATTTCTTTTAATCCTGACGGAAAATACGTATCGTGAACGTGTAGTGAATTTTCTTGAGAGCTTTTTTGCGCCTGTGGATTTTTCATCGCCCGTTGTTCCTTTGTGCTGTCCAAGTGCTGATAACAATGGACAGTCACAAACAGGGCAGCTGCGGCCACTCCGACGGGCGGACAGCGGACGCCTCTCTCCCGCAGTGGGGCTGCGGGCTCACACGCTCGCGCCGGCGCGGGCTGCCAGGCGTGTCCCACGGCGACCACGTCCCACGGCGGGAGGCGTCCCGCGTTTTACTTCACCCGTGTGGCAGACGAGCAGAGTGGTTCGCATCTCCGCTTCCATCTGCATTTCCCGACGGCTAACGCAGGTCACCAGCTTTTTGTTTTTATGGTCCCTTCGAACACACTCTTCTTGCAAAGCGCCAGTTTCGTGCTTGGACAGACTTTTCCGCCGGCCTGTTCGCGTTGACTTGTCGTCATTCCGGGTGCGAGTCCTTTGGTGGGTAACGTCTCAAAAGTGTCTTCTCACGTTCTGATTTGCCTCTCTCTCTCGATAGCATCTTTCGACGCACGTAAATGATCAATTTCAGTATATTCCGCTGTCAGTTTTTTCACGATTAACACTGTGTTTCCTGTTTGAGACATCTTCGCCTGTCCCGAAGTCGTAAAAATAGTCACTTCTTTTTTCTTCTCAAAGTTTCTTCTAAAAGCTGTCTCCCGAATGTGTGTAAGTTAGTTGTCTGCACAGTCCACTGGCCAAACTCAAGGCAGTGGTGAGGAGGGCCACACCGCCACTGGGGGAGGGGACAGGGACGGGGAGTGTGTCCTGAACGGTAGCCGAGCATGCGGCGGTCCGATCTGCTGGCCCCCAGGGCACACTGGCCTCCTGCAGACGAAGCACACTCACTGCCCCAACTCCAGAGGTCCGTCCGGCCACAGCATGGGCCCCACATCCGGGACCTGAGGACGAGGTGTCAGCTCTGACTCTACATCCTGCCTCGCCAGCTGGGTCACCACCAGCCAAAAAGACATGTTGTCTAGTCTGGGATCCTTCCTTGTGAGCTGTTCGCTCAGCCCGTGGTGGTTTTGTGGACGCCAGCAGAAGACGTGCGAAGCCTGGACAGCGGCCTGGATCACGGACGAGCCAGCACGAGCATCGGCACGTCTGTGTCAGCTCCGAGGCTGTGACGCACTGGGGCCCCGGCGGGTCGCACATGAACACAGAGAGAGCTGAGGGAATTCACTGCTTTTTTAGCAAGCGGTGGGCAGGCCTGTTCTTGTCCTGGACGGAGACATTACCTTACTCCTGCACGGTGGCCCAGGTGCAGGGTGGCCAGGGCCTTGCAGGGAGCACCGAGGAAGACACGTAGGAGCACGTGAGACCTCAGCAGACATACCCTTCCCGCACGGTGTGCCTGAGCACCTGTGCACATGTGTGCACACACGTGCACACTCACACACGAATACATGCATGCACATGCACATGCAATATATGTGTGCGCACATGCACACACAAGCTCATAAACATGCACACGCACAGTCACATGCATACATGAACACGTGTGCAACACAAACGTGCACATGCACATATGATCACGTGCAGGCACAACATGCACATATATGCACGCATGTGCAGATGTTGACATGCACACACACGTGCACACTCACACACGAATACATGCATGCACATACAATATATGTGTGCGCGCATGCACACACAAGCTCATAAACACACACGTCGCATGCATGCATGAACACGTGTGTAACACAAACGTACACATGCAGACATGATCACGTGCAGGCACAACATGCACATATATGCACACATGTGCAGGTGTTGACATGCACACACGTGCTCGCACGCCGCGGTGGTGGAACAGGATGGGGTGCCTGGTCCACGGTGCTCTAGAATCCCACGGGCAAACACCCGCCCCTCCCAGGGACCAGCTCTGAGCCCCGACTATGTCCCTCGAGTCAGTTTTTCATCAAGTCTCGGCTCCGCCCTGTGGGAGTCTCGGCTCCGCCGTGCAGATGTTCACATGCACACACACGTGGACACATGCACACACGTGCTTGCATGCCGCGGTGGTGGAACAGGATGGGGTGCCTGGTCC